CTTCACGGCAGAAATAGGCAGGGTGGTGGTACCCACCCGTGCGGACTCACAAGAGGTCCTACCACCCGTAATTATGCAAATTATAATTATGTGGATTTTATTTTTATTACACGATGTTACTCCTTCACCGTTGAAGTCAATCGTGTACATTTGTCGAGTACGTATTTCATTAGAAAAATTGGTACCCGCCTGAGATTCGAACACCGGTGCATCGCTCAACACGAATGCACCGGACGTCTTATTCTTTAGACCACGACGACTTAACACTTAATTTCCTGCCAAACTCTACTACTGCAAATTTCTTACCTACCTTAGTGGAGGATTATCTGCAACAATTGAATTGGTATTCTTGCTGTGAAGCAATACGCGTTCGGTCCTAATTTGCAGAGAGCAATTTCTACGATGCAGTTTACTGTACAACTTGGGCTGTTGTGTCAAAAGCTCTCATCCCGTGATACCAGAACAATCCTCCGGTAATTATTAGGCAGTTAATTTGTGCATTAAAAAGCTTGAAACATTAATTTGGGACAGAAATTATACATCATCTGGGAAAGTGTTTTAAAATGTAAAATCTAAAATTTTCCGAAAATAAAAATTTCCCTTTTATCATCGAAATAAATGTAGTTATAGTACGTGGTAACAGTTTGCGTAATCTGCGAAAGCGTGCGTCCGTGTGAAGAGCATTCGAAGCAAGCCAATCTCCATTTCAATGGCACGTTTAATATTACCTAACTTATATTTTAATAAGACAGGCAATTAGTCGACAAAACTATCAGTGCATTAAAATTTGCGAAGCTCATTGTTAATCTCGAATGTTGATTTATATTTACGATGCAATTCGGTATTTCTAGTTAAACAAATATTATTAGAACAATTAAAGTTCGTACATATATTTGGATAGATATTTTACTGATAACACGCAAATGGCAAAGACATTAAAGCAAACTATTATATTGAATTTTGTAGTAAGCTAAGCAATACGTCCGTAAGGCTAAAAGCGACTATAATCCAAGAAGAAAACTGCAAAAAAACCGGAGATGTTGATAAAATCAAAATCGAATAAAATATTATAATAGAATTGAGTTCGAACAAGCTCGCGGTCAAACATTACCGCAATTGCAAAATTCGACATCCATCAGTATGTTTTCGAGGTAAACAATCTCACGTAACGCAAGATTTACATTCAAACAGCGGTCTAGAAAGTAGAATCTTAAATGGTCCTCTTAAACAAAACGTTCACGTAATAACCCAAACAAAACAAAGTAGGCTGGAGATGCACGAGACAGTTTCAATGCGTTGTTCTAATGTTAATTACTTACAAATCTCGCGTTCAACCCCATTACGTATGTCTAATCGCCAAGAATACTTGTCCATGAACTCCTTTTGCATTGTAAAATTCGATTTGCTAAAAAAGTGAACGCAACGTATCTTCCGAATTAACATAAATATTGCGTTCCGATGGTCGCGCGGCCTTACGTACTTCGACTTACGTGACTTAACAAGAGNTTGTTCTAATGTTAATTACTTACAAATCTCGCGTTCAACCCCATTACGTATGTCTAATCGCCAAGAATACTTGTCCATGAACTCCTTTTGCATTGTAAAATTCGATTTGCTAAAAAAGTGAACGCAACGTATCTTCCGAATTAACATAAATATTGCGTTCCGATGGTCGCGCGGCCTTACGTACTTCGACTTACGTGACTTAACAAGAGGAATTGCTTGACCCATTCGTCTTGTACTGTTTCTAAGTAGGGTCTGCATTGTTTTGTTGGATATTAGTGACCGGTAAAAGCGTGTTTCGTAAAGCAAACAATATGTGCTTCGCGATCACAAAGAACAAATTCTTGGCGCGAAGAAGACGCCCGCGTTACAATGGGCGCTGGTGCACCGGATCTTTTGCAATGTATCGATGCGCTCTGCATTCGACCTGATTTCTCTACCCGTTGGTTTTAATTAACGTCAATTAAGTTGAAATTGTAACGGCTATAACGTAGATACTAGGTATAGATAAAGTGTCACAGCACTATGCCATACGCGATTTATTGATTTAACGTTCATTCGATTATTTTACTATTGGAATTTATTATATCCGATACACATATTTCTACCGCAATATATTTAATGCGAGCTTCTCTCACACAAAGACACAGACGATGTAGGTACCTAATTATTTAACTTTCACGAAATAAAAAACATTTGACTTCCAACAACGGTCATTACCGGTGGTTTGGACCACATTAACCAAAATTGGACCAGTCGCATACTAACGTGAATTTTTGGGTTATGTTGTGGGATACGTTTTTTATATATTGTGAATTTAATGGTATTATAATAATTTTTAGTACCATCCAAGATGTTGAAAATCAATAACACCATTAATTTCATGCTCTTGAAATTAAAGTAACATTGTATGTCAATGAATCACTGAAGACCACAAACGCAAAGAAACAAACTGTTTTATTTTATTTTCTAAGTACGTAATGTAGGTACCTTGTTGAGCTCATGTTAACTGTAGCATTTTCAAAAATTCGTACTACTAGTTATATTTTTATAAAATACTTTTTAACATATTTTATTTAACAATACTATGTACTAAATGAATTCAGTAAAATTCAAAACTTCAATGCTTGGTAATGTTAAAAATTCAATATTTTTAATATCAAATCTCTCATCACTCGATTCCAATGTGGAATGTTGTCAAATTGGTGAAATTGGGGCGTCAGTTTTTTTTTTTTCAATTAACAAATACTGCATGCACGGGGACGGGTACCTACTCAATCGTAATTTTTGGTTGCATTCCCTCCGTACGTGATTGTATGTAATTTTAATAAATTTGTTAAGCGGACAAATTCTCATTATAATGTTGGATACGTTTCCTTTTCCTGTTTCTGTTCGCTGTGTGTTGAATAAACGATAAACCACTCTGCCGGAACGGAACGAATACACTTACGTGTTTTCTTAGATAACCGATTGCAAAATTCCGTTAAGATTATTGGTAATTACATGATTATACCGATCAAGAATTACTATGATTATGAAATCGTATGAATATTTTTGAATAGCGTTACGCATAGCCGGCTTTTCTACACGTTGTTAGGGATGCAGTTTAGAAAAAGCTGGGAAGATTTAAGCAGAACATTTAATTTTAGCTTTTTTAATTAGAAGTTTGAAGCATTTTGAAATAGTAAAATTATGACTTTCATTTCTGAAAAATTTCAACAAGTATTATGAAGACTGACTTTGGTAATTTGTGCTGATTTGCTTATTAGGCATTTATTATACATAGCCAGTACTTTTAACCGACTTAAAAAAACTGTAGTTATAGTAGTTACTGTAGAGGAAGTTATAAAATCGACTGTACTTTTTTATATCTGTTACCTCAGAACTTATTTTATTTGTAAGTGAACCAAATTTGATGATTTTTGTGAAAGCTGGTACTTGTAGGTACTCCTGCAGCCACGTTTAAATTTTATCAAAAACTGACCGGTAGTTTTTAAGTTATGCTTATAAATGTTTAGTTAATTGACTTCGGCTACATTGATGATATTGTCATTTTATTTTGTTCGCCTATCGTTTTCCGTAAATACTGAGTATAAAACAGTATTTATTTTAACTGATACACAGCCTTATCTTTTTTTATCTTAATCTTTTTTCTCAGTGTTTTAAAAGTATTATGGGTGTTATCAAATTAAAGAAAGTAAAAAATTATAACATTAACACATGTTGCATGATAATTCCTTCTTTGATCTAGTGGTTAAAAGGCCTACTACTGTTCCCACTGTCTAAGGTAAGCCTTGCCTTAGATAGGTGTGTTTCTTATACCCGTAATAACATAGAAGAAATTTCTACTTTGGGGAATGTAGGCTTTAGTCATTATATCATATTTAATCTGTGTACTTTATGCAACGGGAAAGGCAACACGAAGTCGATAAATTTTTCCATTTATATTGTAAGGTTCTTAGTTTCTGGCTTTTGTGAGTCGCGGGAATACCATTTAAAAAAATAAACGAGAGACTTTCTCGTTTAGCGGCAACTATGAAACAAAATAAACGAACATAAAATATGTGTCGAACATCTGATATTCTCAAGATAAGTACCTATTACCTTTGTCCAGGATCCGAACAACAACTCGACAAAAAAAAGCCCGCCCGGTCGAAGCTTCTTTCCTAGGTCACTTTTCTCAAATACCGTAAAGTATCTAATTTTATTCATTAATTAAAATTGCCGTGAAGCAGTAATGCGTTTCGGTTTGAAGGGTGGGGCAACCGTTGTAACTAACTATACTTGAGACCTTAGAACTGATATCTCAAGGTGGGTGGCGCATTTGCGTTGTAGATGTCTATGGGCTTCAGTAACCACTTAACACTAGGTGGGCTGTGAGATCGTCCACCCATCTAAGCAATAAAAAAAAAGTATGATATTAATTTAAGTCTTTGCAAAGTTTTATTTCGAACCATTTTAGTATTTCGTTAGATGTCTTGAACATGGTTATCATAAAATTTCATTATAAAATCTGATTTCTTAGAAAAATAGATTACAACTTTGCTCTTAGCGAATCACTAGAGTACCTATTTTTAAATTAGCCCTGTTTAATATAACCAGGACCAGAACTGGTGTCTTCTGTAGTTATAAATAAAAGATGCCTAAGTGAAAACTTGTTAGTCTATCTGACAGTCATAGATATTCATTTGAATAAAGTAAAACTAGCAAAACTTTTATTCATATCTGTACCTAAAGTGCGGATTTTTATTGCATTAGTACCTACTTGCAGTATCGCACTAGTATGTGTATTTTAGATCACTGAAACAATTTTGCTCGTAAATATAGACGTGAACTATAATTTAAATAACGAATAGGAGTGAACATCGGATTTCTGAAAGAAAAACGCTAATCAACACGCGTTCTGCTTAACAAATTAATTTGGATCATAACAGAAAACTAGTTCCTTAATAACGTCTAAGACGACGGGATGAATAGAATAATCCTGTTTAACTCACCACTAGTTCAAATTAACTGAGAAAAATTCCACATCGACCTCTGTGTACGGCACAAATTGAAAAAAAAAAAGAATTTTTAAATCATCTGTGCACTGTGTTTATTTTCCCGGCATTTATATATTTTTTTGCGCCTTCAAGCTTTCGTGGGCAACGGGCAACGGTATCCCGTGCGTTACACCGCACGTTCGTCTTGGAACTGACTAGTGACTTGAACGGAGCATTTCTTTGCTCGACAACTCGAGTCTTGAGTTCATTATATTAGACGGTCGTCGCCATTGCCCAGATCCCACTGGGCTCTTGCAGATTGCCTACTTACTACTTATTTGTTGTTATTATTATATGAATATACAATAGGTTCTTTTTGGAAAGGGTTCATTTAAAACAATAATTAGGAAAAATAAATTTATTGATTTACAAAGGCATACTAAACACGTAAGTTTCTAATATTAACAACATTAAATCTAAATAGTTTAGTTTTATTATTAATTATAAACCATTAATTATTTGTGAATATATACTTAANTACTACTTATTTGTTGTTATTATTATATGAATATACAATAGGTTCTTTTTGGAAAGGGTTCATTTAAAACAATAATTAGGAAAAATAAATTTATTGATTTACAAAGGCATACTAAACACGTAAGTTTCTAATATTAACAACATTAAATCTAAATAGTTTAGTTTTATTATTAATTATAAACCATTAATTATTTGTGAATATATACTTAATCATGAGTAATATTTATAATGTGTGTTAAGTAATATTTGAGTTTGAGTAATATCATTATTATTTTCATAGCCATAAAATTAACTAAGTTATTGAGCATAGCCTATCATAAAAGACGAACAAAAGAATTTTGGTATAAGCAACAATCAACAATAATAATAAAAAAGCAACTGGCAAAAGTGATCTGGATTGCGTCCGCTTTGCTAAGCTGCGTCAAATTAATGAAAACAAAACAGAAATAATTTCTTCGTATAACAAATACCTGCATAGTGATAGTAGCGTGGTCTTAATAATAAACCCTTGATACAATACTTCATATTTTTCGACACAAATCGGGATACGCGAGCGAGTTTTAATGTGACGCTTTGTTTTATTGGTATAGTTTGTGGGTAGTTTAGTGATTACCGGAAACTACATTGCAAATGCCGCCTTATGTCTTGAGGGTGAAGGCCCGATTTCATTTAAAGAATCGATCACTCCGCAATGCTCCACAATTTCGCGGTAGCACTGGGCAAAACGGCGGTGTCTCTACTCCGATTATTTCATCACACTAATATTCACAGATTCTATTCAAAATACTGAAGCTACGTACAAAGTATATACCTCATTCGTCTACCCTTACAGAGCATTATAACGCTTTCAAATAAATTTAATCCAAATTTATACAATAGTTATAAAGAGACATAAAAGTATGTACGTAAAATAGAAGAACGAGACAGATAATCATGGTTATAGAAATAAGAAAAATTACCAACACATAGTTCAAAACTATTTATTTTACTGACGTTTATATGCATTTTTTTTAAGAGATTTTATGACCTGGTAACTGAGACCTTTAAGTCATGTCTTATTTTAATCTATATTCTTAATTTTATGAAAAATGATATTATGGAGTGAAATGAAATGAAAATGATTAATTTGAGACATTAATCAACTAGGATGAAATTAAATGAGATGATATGAGATGAAATCTAATCTCAGTAAAATGGTGGTCATTTACTAAGATTTTTCAGTGGACTTTTTGGAGGATCCCGAGAAGTTACGTCCAGCGGCTTTGTTTCATTTTCCCACATTTGTGCACTTTCACAGATATTAAACGGTTAATAAACCACCATTATTACACATTTAAACCCGAAGAAACACTAAATAGACAAAATAAAACAAATCACACAACTTCACTCCTCGCGTTCCCGCCAAAAAGTCCACAATCGATGCATTTTTTTTAAGAGATTTTATGACCTGGTAACTGAGACCTTTAAGTCATGTCTTATTTTAATCTATATTCTTATTTTTATGAAAAATGATATTATGGAGTGAAATGAAATGAAAATGATTAATTTGAGACATTAATCAACTAGGATGAAATTAAATGAGATGATATGAGATGAAATCTAATCTCAGTAAAATGGTGGTCATTTACTAAGATTTTTCAGTGGACTTTTTGGAGGATCCCGAGAAGTTACGTCCAGCGGCTTTGTTTCATTTTCCCACATTTGTGCACTTTCACAGATATTAAACGGTTAATAAACCACCATTATTACACATTTAAACCCGAAGAAACACTAAATAGACAAAATTAAACAAATCACACAACTTCACTCCTCGCGTTCCCGCCAAAAAGTACGTTTATATGCATAACTAGTTTTTTCACAACACCCACATTCACTCAATTTTAATTGTTAGTGGGTGAGTATCTATTTCTTAAAATCTATAAATTCATTCAAATTCGATAAATCAATCCAAAATATACACTTCTGGAACATCTAATAATGAAAGATAGCATTGAGAATTTCTTTTTTTTGTAATTACACCAAAATCAGGGCTCTCTATAACATGCAGTCTCTCTGTCACCTCATATGCCGTAGGACAAATTCTGACTCCTATCCGACCCCACTCATAAGTAGTATGAATGTATCCATAATAGGCTTTCTCGGGTTCAACAAAAGCAAAAGGTACAAAAACTACTTATCTAGTATTAAATAGATTTGTTTCATTGCAAGATGTTCCGCACCCTGAAGAGACATGCCCATTACTAAATTAATCAAATGCAACATCACAAACCCATAGCTTACTAATAATATATATATTTTTAATATATTTGCATAGGACATACATATTAATCAAATATATTTATTTATATTACAGTTTTCGATTCGAGAAGTAAATCTTAAGACTGATGCAAAAAAGTGTGTAATATTAAATCACATTTCACTATTTAATCAGCATAACTATTTTTGGTAAATAATAGTGTGAAATAAAAATTCATAAATCATGCCATCAACATAGGAATATCATTGTACAATCATTAATTCCTGAAAGTGAACTCAAAATTTATGAGAGAGTAGGAAAAGAATAATGTTATTATTCATTAATTAATCCTTCATATTATTTCTAAAACATAAATATAGTTCTCATACATAATTTCATTTTCGAGAACAATTTATTAAGATAGTATTGTATAACTTGGAATTACGTTTCTTCAATGTTAGGATTTTCAGAAAACAGTTGATGATCGTTATATGTCTTAAGATATTTCTTCGTGGTCCAATACAACATGATCCCCCATTTGGTCATCATAAATGACCATACTAATCTAATTATAATGCTCGTTTCTATTGGTGTAACATCTGAAATGAACACTTAAAATCAGTTCTGAGCCAAGCTATTATTAATTCTAAAATCATAGTATCTTTAAATTCATTACATTTTCCAGATCCAGTAGAGAAAATAATTGCATATTTGTCACACAAATCACACAAACTTTTGTTAAAAAAAAAAATACAAAGTAAAAAACTGAATTTAGCAAAAAAAAGAACATTAAGTAATCAAATAAGAATATTATCAATGCAGTCAAAGTCGATTAAATATGCTTTGATTGTGTTAAAATTTAAATGGGACTATGCAGTTATGTGACAAGCAACAGATTTCAAATGAAAAAGAATAATCAAAATCGGCACTAAAAAAAAAATCTAGTCAAATTGAGAACCTCCTCCTTTTTTGAAGTCGGTAAAAACCAGAGTGAATTAATAATATGGAAAAATTTCATTGATTTCTATTCATTATATTTCATTCATTCTATTTTCATTGATATTTCATTAATATGATAAATAAATGTAGCTTCAAACTTTCGTTTAAAATACTCATTTCATTACATTGTACACTAGCTTCTTCAGAATACTGACTTTCGAAGGATTTGTGAGTTCACACAAAACACGATGCCACTAAATATGTTAGAGAAAAAAAAACTTTAAAACTATACAAATATAGGTTCATTATAACTTGTTTTGATTTACTTAACATATGAGATTAATAAAATATTTTTAACAAGATAAAATGTTATTGAACCTATTTATACTGATAAAATTTTCTGACACAATTTTTAAAGACTATGAAGACAACAACTGCCTCAGCCAGAGATAAAAGAAAATTAATTATATGAAAATTAGAGTTCTGATGGCTTTGTTACACTGTTTGATGTATCATCAATGGTAATAGTTAATTTAAGTTATAAAAATGACTTTCAAAAATCAGTGGGTGATGCTGCTATGCTAAAAAAAGAGATGAGAGTGTAATTTCAAACAATTACTATCCTTACCAGTTTGATAATATATTTCCAAGAATATGTAGAAGATCATCAGAGCACCACCAGCCACAAAGCCAATAATGCCAATATCCCCAATGTATTGAAGGCTTTTTCTCGAAAAGTTTACATGGAGAGATTCCTTTAGATAGTGGCAATGAAGCATTAAAGCTAGGCCGGCATTTATTCCTACAAATCAGGAAAAGCAATTAATTACTTATAAAACTTCCAAATAATTACAACAAGAAGTAGAAAATACTTGTATGGAAACAGTGTAATTTGATTTTGAACGTTGTTCTAAGAGTGTTGCAGTCTATATGTACAAAATATATTTAGAATGATTAATTTGGGATTAATAAAAGACGGACTTAAATAATGCAAATTGATAAGATCAAGCACAGTTACAGCCTGATCATTTTATCATCAGCAGATTGGAATATCGTGCCTTGGTTGAGTTGCAGGTACTAATTCTCTGTGACATCTCATAGTAACAATAGCACCCTCAATCAACTTGTAATAATTTTCTCTACCATTCCCCATTAACTATTCTGAGCACTGGCCTATTAGCCAGAATTTACATGGTACACATTTTATAAACATTTAGATGAGTAATAGTAATTCAAATTTCTTGTTATTAGTCAAACAAGCCATGGAAGAGTGACGGCATTGTTTCAACTTGTTTAAACTGCAAAAATGGGTGAATTCTCTTCTTAAGAAAGTTTGAGAAATGTAGTATAGTTAGGTATATGTATTCGTTTACTTATTAGTTAATTAATTGTTAATAATTGTTAATTACTTATTAGTTCATAAGTTCCTTCTACAGTCCTCTTTGCTATTCCGAAATGTCTGTCGGACACGAAACTTGCATAATTATGCATATTTATAAGGAAATTTCCTTATAAAACATTTCACTTATTTAATCGCAAACTATGGGTTACGGTTACAATGAAATAGCAGTGGTTAGTAGTTCTATTGTATAATACCTGACAGCAGTGCCCACATTCCAGCTTCTATGTTAGCGTATACAATGCAAAAACATATAAATGCGGATACACCCAAAACAAGTCCAATAGAACTTAGCGCTATATGTATTTTAGTACGTAACATATTTGATAATTGTCACTCAGTATGAGATTATTTATATTTCAATAAGGAAGATTTCCTCCCTCCCTCCTTTCCTTAATTTCCTCTCTCGGAGTACACTTCTCAAACACAAGAAACAGCTGTTTTATTTTCAACTTTGTTTGTTTGATAATACACAAAAGTAAAACTGTGACAAAACGATTACTATTATTTTTTTAAGGGGTTTTATGACCTGGTAACTAAGACCTTTAGGTCAAGTCTTATTTTAATTTTAATGAAAACTTTTTTTATTGGAAAATGATATTACGAAATGACATAAAGTTAATTAATATCAAACATGGCATGGAATAAAATGAGATGAGATAATATATGGGATGAAATATAATCTCAGTAAAATAGTGGTCATTTACTGAGACTTTTTCAGTGGACTTTTTGGGGGATCCCGAGAAGCTACGTTCAGCGGCTTTATTTCATTTTCCTACATTTGTGCACTATCACATGTACTAAACAGTTAATAAACCACCGTTATCACACCTTTAAACCTGAAGAAACACTAAATAGACAAAATAAAACAAATCCTACAATCTCACTTCTCGCGTTCCCGCTAAAAAGTCTCATTTTCTTTTTAATAAAAGCAGATAAGCAATGTTGCCATTTGAAGAAGACACAAACGAAATCAGTACTTTCCTTCAAAATTATAGACAAAATCTGTAAAACCATTTTAAACAAAATTCTATTTGATTACCTATAAAATTAAATTAGTCGAAAAAACCCTACATTTTTCTATTTCCATGAATAACGTGCTTGAATTAATCATATACCAATAATAAAGGGTAAGAGTATCTTCGTGCTGTTTTATTATTATTTAATAGTGTTTATTGTTTAATAGTGTTTACTGTTTCTATTGAACTTTCTAGTCATTAACTAAAATCTCTAACCTCGACTCATTCGTGTACAATTTCTCAAATGCGTTTTTGAATGAGATTAGTACATATTTAAATTAATACTGGGCAGTACTGAAAACAACTATCATTTCAAAAAGAATCTAGCAAAAGCAGTACAGTCCTTAATACAAATTAATAAGCGCAATCAAGATTGAATGAAGAAAGAAAAAAAAATTGTGTTGTTTTCTTGTATTAACAATGATCACCTGTTCATTTTATTGCTTAAAGTCCCATGTTGTTAAAATTTAGTACAATATCAAACTTAAAACGTTGAGGAACTGGTGGGCCATGACGGAGTCGTGAAAAGCCATATTTATTTTTATTTGTTTATTTTTTATTTTATTTATTGGGTACCAACATGTTATACATCAGCACATAACATTACAGGTATCATATACATTGATTTCACACTAAATGCTAACACAATTACAGGTACCGACTGCATGCATTCAAAAAAAGCTGTTCATTATAATAATATAAAAAAACAAAAAACAAAAACTATATATAACATTACATGAAGACCTTACATTATTACACATTTACTACCAAATACGCTATTACTTAATTGAAAAAACTCATTGAGCAAGGTTGTAGACTTCACGTCTAAAACTGTCAACAGGGCCAGATTGTTTTGCCGCAATAAAAGTTGACCCAGTCTGCAAGGAATGCTCTATTGGGATTAAACCAAACGACTTCAGGTTATAAAGACTGACCGGAGGATTAATAACAATAAAGACGTTAACTGTAAGTTAATATTAATTACCCTTGAAGTTGTGAATAGTGTTGTAGGCGGCCTCTGTGTGTCTTCACACTCAGTGAAATCAGTAAATCGTAACACGATTTGAATTTACCTCTTGAAGACCTTGTTTTCTTTTCTTTTTCGGGGAAGTATTGAATTTTTATCCTGACAAGAATTTATCCAAACTTTGAATATAGTAGAAGTCTTTCGGCAAAAGGTTTGGAGAGTATGCTAAATGACGCAAAAATTTCAACCCTAGCTCTTGTAGCTTGGAGACCGTCTGTTATGCTGGCCGGAGATTCGTGAGCTTCCCCGTCATTGTGTCCAGCCCTTACACAGTACACATCCGTAGTAATACAGGTGACATTTGGGAAGGAGCTGTGGTGAATTTTTAATTGAATATTTTGGCACTAGACCACCAAACAGTGACTATGACATTTTAAGAGTAAATTTTCGATTTGGGGATTGCGTAGGCTTTAGGTGCTAAAGCCAGGTCTAATCAACACGACGACCGCTTACGATAAAAAAAAGATTAATAAAAAAGAATCCGTTCTTCATCCCAAGTAACAATACGGCTTGAAATTCCTTGGTTTCTTTGTCTGTTAAGCAACGCAAGGTATACACGAACGCGTTCGTCGCGTTGCGCTGGGGATCGTTCAGTCTGTGCGGTACCCCTTTTTTTCTGAATCTGCGGTCGATCCTACGACCTCCTACTCAGAACCCGGGCGGAGCTAGCGAGGGAGCTAGCAACTTATCAATTTTATGAATTATTTGTGCGATGCGGTAATTAATTATTGGTGCGATGGTAGAACGGTAGACGGTTCTAATTTTTTCTTAAATTACCTACATAATATTATTTTTTCTCATCACACCATCACCTTCCAGACGTCATCACATTTCCTGTACACATACAGCAAGTTTTGTTAAAAGCTATTATTATTATATTACCCGCTTACAGAAGCCGAATTTAGTCTGTTAAGGAGTTAGAGCTAAAACAAATATCTTATAGGAGTTTCGGCGATGCTTTATAACTTTCTTTATGAAACTTTTGACAGTAGGCAATTTTAGGCAATGCCTAAGTTTCAAAGATAAGTCGACAGGAATTGAATTACGTGGAATATTCGCCATTAGTAAAGGAAGTGGTTACTGAATAGTAATATGAAAAAAGATGGATAGTAAATTCAATAGCTTATTTAATTCGCCTTTAAAAAAAATGTACATATTTGTTTTTTTTTGTCATAAAATTAGTGAAACGGATTGATATTTGGAATGCACCTATCATTAATATTTAAATTTCAGTGTAAGTTTTAAGATCAATAGTGTAGGTATTTTTTTTTATTTTATGAAAATTGATAACAACTTTACTATGCTTGGGTAATAGTGTGACGTCTTTGATTTTTCTCCCTTTGATTTTCATCTATTAACTTGCGTAATTCNTTTTTTTTGTCATAAAATTAGTGAAACGGATTGATATTTGGAATGCACCTATCATTAATATTTAAATTTCAGTGTAAGTTTTAAGATCAATAGTGTAGGTATTTTTTTTTATTTTATGAAAATTGATAACAACTTTACTATGCTTGGGTAATAGTGTGACGTCTTTGATTTTTCTCCCTTTGATTTTCATCTATTAACTTGCGTAATTCATTCAAAGCGTATGCAAGGTCATTATACAATTCTAAATTGAGATCTTCTTGTATATTTAGAAAATCGATATACATCTCTTTGTTATGTTTTTGATTTTTATTAATCCACTTCTTCGTCACTTCTACTAAAGCCTCCAGTTGTTTTCCTGAGTTTGCATTGTTTTTTTTTAATATTATGCTCGTTGCGATTTTCCAATATAAAGGAAAATCTTTGCACATAAATCCGTACAAATGATGTTTGAAATTTGGTTCCATTAATTTTCTTAGGACTTTCTCCCTTCGTTCCTGCAGCGTCAAATCTTTCGGGTATAAAACATTGAATGTTTGAAAATTCGTGTAGCTCTTGTTCAATAATCTTCCCATGTAAGGCACTACAAAGTCCGGATAATCATTCAGAAATACGGGTTGCTGTAAATTGTTTATCTCTAGATAATCTAAAAAGTTTTCATCGTTGAATGCATCTTGGATATTTTTAAAAACGTCATCATTAAACAGCATTTCAAGTATGACAGACGTCAATCTCGTAATGCATATAGTTTGTATGTGTATTATTTTTGTTTCACGATCATAAAGTGACAAGTTTACTTTACCGTGCTTTAAGACTACGCCATTAGATAATGTGCTATTATTTTTATCTTTATACAAAATAATAACATCTTTAATATTCATGTTGTTTATTGTTTTGAAATCAACAAGTGCTTGCACATTTTCGATCAATATCTGTCCTATTTGATTGTACCAATAAACGGTGTCGATAATCTGCAATTTTTGTTCAATATACAAAAATAACAGCTTTAAATGTCCACCCATTATACCGTAATTATTTCTGAATTCTTTTTCATATTTAATTTTTAGGTTATTATGCCAGTTACTTTTGAACTCTTCTGAGTTTTCACTATGATTTGAAATCAATATGGCATATTGTTCTTGGAGATATTTTATGAAACTTATCAAATTTTCGCGATCATCAGCAGTCAGATCAATGTGTCGGCCTTTAACGCGTACTGCCTTTTGTTGATTCCTTATTCGATCCTGAACTGCCGATTCGTTATCGGTAAAGAATAATAAATTAAGCAACTCTGTAACTTTATCGGCAACGTTATAACTGATATCTCCAACGTCACTTCCGTATCCGATCTTGAATAATTGACAGGAACTATTCGTTAATGCTTCTTTTACTGTGTCAACATCCGTTTTGACCTGTATTATATGATCAAATGTGTTTCCAGATTTGCTTAGTAAATCACCTACTATTTTACTTAAACAAAAAGCGTAGAGATTTTTTCTGTTTTGGCGCATGTAGTGTCTGAAAGCAAACGCCAATTCTGATTCATTGTTGACGTACTGGTAAAAGACGTGAATTTGATCATTTCTCTCGGTCCCTAAAATTTTTAATATATTATTCTTCTGTAGCTTCATATAGGGCACAACGTTTATGATGAATTCAAATATTTGTTCTCTAGCGTTATTTGATTTTAATCTCTTTTTATCGTAAGCTTCCGACATCGCGGTCCTCACGAAAGACGTGACTCTTTTCTCGCATTCATCTTTGTCTATCGCTGTTCCTATATCGAACTGCTTCTTAAATAGCATACTAGGTGTTTTTAAATTATCTGGTCCCTCGGTGAACTCGTCGTGTAGTTGCTGTTTGATGTGCGTTAAGTATGTTTGTAGTAAAACAAATATGTTGGTACTCTTACGATTGCTATATTCGAGAAGACCATTTAAGTCTGCAGGCTCTATCCAATTGAATGTTTTTGTATTGGCATTTAGTTTTCTATGAACCAAATAGTTTCTGATGGAAACGACGCGATCCGTATCAGTTTTGTTGATAATTCGATCTAGATTAAGCTTCACACCGTTCTCGTCACGAAGTTTCATGTCTTGTAAGGCCACTGTTTCGAGAAAATATACCAAAATATTAGCGTTCCTACCATTAATATAAGTGGCTTCGCCTAATGGCTTCATATATGTCAATAGCGTATTGAGCTTCTGCAAGACTATTTGAACTGAATCGTTAATTTCTTTGTAAAGACCTTCGGCAACGGGCTGTTTGCTATCCAGCCTTTTGTTAATTAATCTGGCATTAACAAGCGCGTACGCCGCATTGCCGAGCTGTAGATTAGCTATTTGTCCATCTGGGACGTGATCTGTGACTATCTGTTTCAAACTTTCATCCATTTTCTGATTCCTAGTGTCTGTGTAATACGTTATAGCGTTTTCATAGTCTATAATCAGTGTGACCCAAAAGTTTTGCATGTTACAAATGATTGTCAATCTTTTGGTGCTTTGGTCGGTAGAGTCCAAAATCGGTTTTATTTTGTCTATGCCGTCTACAAGTCTGAATACGTGGTCCCGGTCTTGTTGTAAGCCGAATTCATCCTGAGCCAAGCACATTAGCTCTTGTTGTCGATCGCTTATTTGTAAACTGTTATTAAAAGAATTTATCATTGCATCGACTATACTCTGATCATTGGGGTCGACCATTTTATTGATTTAGATGTTTGTTATACTTGATTTTGCTTTCTTCTGAATGTTTTATATATATCTAAATACGCCAAGTACTGGATCTGGAATATAGAAAAAAATAACACATAAATATTTTAACTACTTTAACGTCAACCTTCCTAACCTCCTCATTCCTGCAATAGATCATAGATGAATTAAAAAAAACGGAATATTGGTTTAGTGATCTTAGCTCTTTCTAAAATAACAGTAGTTATGTTAACCATATTTATTATCATATTTTGAGTACAGATAAATAATAAAATAGTTAATCTTTTAATATGGTGTATTTAAAAAAATCTAGGTACCTAAGCAAACAATGACAGTACAAAAGGATGAATAATTTTTTCAATGGTATTCCATATTTATAATTGAATGTTTAATTCTCAAATTTTGCGTTTATATTTAAAATTAACGATAAGTATTACTATATTGGCGCTGGTTGCTGTGTAGTAATTAGTGTATATTATGTCGCTTTCTGACTCAATCTGACGTCTAGTAGATCACATCACAACTTACGTGGAAACCTTAAGTATACACCCTAAAATATACCTAGGTATGATGCTATGTCAATATCAACACAAACCAATCCTCTTATACGAATGTCATAAAAGCATATAATTGTAAATAGACATGTTTTAGCAAAAACCGACTTCAAATAGATAAAAGAAAGGTATTCCAAAACAAATTAATATACACTAAAAACAATAATCATCTAAATCGGTTGGCGTGATATTGAGTTATTCATCTATTTGTCGCGCACGTACTTAATGCAAATTTAAGACCTATATGGTTTCCTCATGGATACCATTATCAGAACTGGACTAAATGNTGTAAATAGACATGTTTTAGCAAAAACCGACTTCAAATAGATAAAAGAAAGGTATTCCAAAACAAATTAATATACACTAAAAACAATAATCATCTAAATCGGTTGGCGTGATATTGAGTTATTCATCTATTTGTCGCGCACGTACTTAATGCAAATTTAAGACCTATATGGTTTCCTCATGGATACCATTATCAGAACTCGACTAAATGAAATGGGACCACACGGGGAGCGTCAGCTTTCTAAGAAAAAAAGAATCATCAAAATCGATTCACCCAGTCAAAAGTTATGAGATAACAAACATAAAAAAAACTACACACAGTCGAATTGAGAACCTCCTCCTTTTTTGAAGTCGGTTAAAAATATTACAACATCCATATAAGCGTTGGTCTTTGAGGCAGTTGAGTTGTTGTGGAGGAGCTTATTCAGCTTAGAGTGAAATATTCCCGAAAATAATTGCGTTCACATTGTTAAAAAAGGACATGGTTTTTAAATAAAATTTAATGTAATGAAATACATCTGTAGTAGTATAAACTTTTATATTTTTAAGTAACACATTAATAGTGGTAGTTATATCTTGATATATTTATTAAGAGTTGTTCGAATAACAATTACAAAAGCTAACTTAAAACATCAATCAAATAGCAAAGTTTTATCAAAGCGTCAATTATTCGCGGCATTTCGCGATAACGTGGTGTCAACATTGAAGTAATTTAAAGTACATTATTCGTCATATCAAATCTGAGTCTATTAAAATATAATAAACTTACTCAATCAGTTCAGTTCAATTCGTGATAAACAAAAACGTAAACCAAAAAAATAAAAAATTGAAGTATTGATCGGCTAATTTTTCGGTAAATATGTCCACAAACAATCACATAAGCAGCGTAATGATTCAAAAGTCAGAAAAGGGGCATTGTGAACGTATTCCTGTCAAATTTTCATAAAGTCAATTCGAATGGTTCAATGCGGCAACGTGTTTTTTATCATATATGCTAGTGCTGAGACCAATATATACATATACTATAATGGAAACAGGTTTTGTAACTAGATTTAAAACACATCTTTCGGGTTTGCGAATCAGAGAGAGGGAGGACGTACCTACCAGCGATGCCAAGGAATTAAGAGGGATAGTTGACGATGTTAAATAAGAAAATACGTTGAGCATACTACTACTATGGAAGATAGGGAATTTATAGTAGTAGATTGAAGAATCCGGTCTATTACCCGTATCTACTGATTAAGGAGCGCACACACTTATGACTAACCTCAAAAGTAAACCATGTGATGACTTTTACATTGACAGACAGCTTGGAACACTCAAAAGACAAGGTAGTGTGACCTGGATAACATTAATAAAGCATTTACTATAATAACAAATTTAAGTATGTGATTTTTTTAGGCTAGTGAATGAGGTCACAGATCTGGTGTTAAGTGGTTACCGGAGTCTAAAAACACGACACGAAGACACGCCACCTATCTTGGGAACTGAGGTCTGTATCTAAGCTGTAGGGTAATTATGTAAATTCAAACTTTTATTGCGAGTTTTTTTTACACGATATTATTCCTTCACTTTGGAAGCCATTCGGGAAAATGAGTTAAATATGTATTTCATTAAAAAAAAATTGTGTCTGCCTTGTGGGACTCGAACAACAGCAGTCGCATCGTAAGGTACTAGTATACCGGGTCTCTTATCCTTTAGGCCACGAGGACGTCTGGACGTTCACGACGGATTTTATTGACATCTTTATTTTCTCGTCGAACCAGTATTCGGAGCACGTATTTATACACATACGCGTACTCGTAAGACGCGATCCTCAATACGTTTTACTGGTACATCTCTATACGGGTCATCACTAAAATAATAATGCTTTAATTTTATTATGCGGTCCCATACAATTGTGATGAACGACAATATAGGTATTAAAAGTTTAGATACTTTTAAGATTCAGATAGTTTTACGAATATTATTTGTTTACAATCATGTTTTGAGTTTTATCTTCGAATACAAAAGCCTATATGATAATATAATAATAATAATAATATATAATCGTATATAATAATAATATATCACTCTATAATCGTGGAAGCAACAACTTTATTATGTGGTTATCAAATATTACCTCTTTGGTTTGGGCAGAATTACCTCATCACGATCAAAAATATCTTCTTGTGCTGTAGATGCTGGAAAAATACGAGATAAGCATAGAGAGACTCCGATACTAATGCACTTCACAAAATTACCGACCATGGCCGGGAACCGAGTCCGGATTTGTAGCCAGCGTTACTATGTGATTATCCGTTGCGTACTAATAATATACACAATTTATTTTTCCTACCAATCTGTATGTACCCCTGATTTGGTTATTAAGAATCGAACCTGCGTGTTGCGTGTTGACAATCGACAGCCTTCCTAACTTCCTATCCCTCAGCCCATTCCTGTTGTCGTTGCTTCAATAAAATTTGGACGGTCGACAATGTCGGCATTTAAGTTGTGGTATCTCGTCTGCACGGACGTAATGTTCGGTCTGGGGGCTCACCCTCAAACTCAAATAGACTGAAGAAAATTCAATTAAAGTTTCTGTAGGCTGCTCCACTGGCGGGAAACGCATTTTTTGCGTATGTCTTTATATATGTATATTTTTGCGAACGTCAGTGCTTTATCATAATATGCGGTTCAGTACGGCAACGCGACATGATTGGCGAGAACGACGCCAGGGCATATATGTAGGGACTCGCATCTTTTTATCCTTTTCTGCTGGCGTCTTTTAGCAACAAGCTTACGACGCACTTAGTGGTATGTTACTTGTCCATAGACATCCTTATATAAATCGAAGTGCTTGAATTGTGAATAGCTTTCAACCATGTTATCAGAGTCTTATTTAGATTGGGATACCATTAATATTGTGTTATATTAAATAAGGCTTAGTTTAATAAGGTGATTGGGGATCTTGTGAGTTCACGCGGATAGGTACCACCAGCCGTGCGGACTGGAATTTAATTTTATTTCATGCGTGAAGCAGTAATGCGTTTCGATTTGAAGAGCCAGTCGTTGTAATATAAAAACTGAAATTTCGATCTCGTGTCTCAAGGTGGATAGCAGCATTTGTATGGTTGATGTATATGGGCTCCTTAACACCAGATGAAGAAAAGATCTTCTTTTATTATCCAACTTAACAGCAACTTCTTGTTCGAAGCTTCTCTGATGAAACTATGAAATGAACATTCAGACTAAATAGATAAATAAATCAACAGTTTTTCCCATTCGTTACAAACAGAGTATCAAGCGCACTTCACGCGGCTTCTTGAAATCTAGACAGAGTATCTCTACCACTACACATGCTTTGAAAATTTATTTTTACAGATAAGCTAACGGTTAAGTGGCTACCGGAGATCGACACATGTGGTCGAGACGTATTATTATTATTGTTTATTTTGATATTCGGATAAACTAACAATACACCAGCACGCTACATGGAACAAAACAAAGGAATCCAAACACGCTTCGTAGACCTAGATGTCTGACATTTCGAAATTCATTATCATAGATCCCTTTAAGTATGTATGGTACATATGTACATATTTAGAGAGAGAGAGAACATACTTTATTGCACACCAAAACACAGGTTGTACTGGTGGTAGGACCTCTTGTGAGTCCGCGCGCGTAGTAATGCGTTTTGGTTTGAAGGGTGGGGCAGCCGTTGTAAGTATACTGAGATCTTAGAACTTCTTTTTGAAGTTATTGAAGTTATACTTCTTTAGGCGCGTTATGAAAAATTGATGAGAGTGAAATTTTACTACGCGCGCGCACCGTGACACAAAATTAACAGAATGAAGTTTCCCACTAAATCGCTCATTAGGTACAATACGACCGACGTAACTTGGCGAGTCTGAATATAGCCGCAGGTGAACTTTCCGAACCGTACCGAGAATTACCGAATTTATACGATGTCAAGAAAAGGGATGTCCAATATGCGTGTTTGAGGATGTTGTTGTTTAATCGATTTTTTTTTCAAATTGATTAAAATTTAAATAATAAATAAATTTAATAAAAATAAAGTATAACTTCTTACGCGCGTACATAAGTACACGCACCTTTTTTTTATTTATTGCTTAGATGTGTGGACGAGCTCACTACCTACCTGGTGTTAAGTGGTTACTGGAGCCCATAGACATCTACAACGTAAATACGCCATCAGATAAAGATACAGCAGGTATGTTGCGGTCTTCGATCAACAATGATCTCAGGGAAAAATTATCCAAAAAATCATCATTCCAAACAAACGATTCGCATATAGTTTATTTAATAAATACGAATACTATAGGGTGATATTAACTAAAACTACATAGAAAAATCAATCGTATATTAACTCAATTGAATTTTTTACATACCTTAATTAAACTTCAATAAAATTTAACAATTGCACATTTGAATACTTAAGAAAAATATTGTATTAAATTTGTAAACTACATAAAAGATACATCGATCTTCATCAAAACAGATATAACATTTTCCTTGGAATATTTTTTTTTACTTATCTATACATATAAATAAAATTGGAGTGTCTGTTTGTAATAGACCAAAATAACATTTTTTACAATTTTTGTCTGTCTGTCCGTTTGTTCCGGCTAATCTCTGGAACGTTTGGACCGATTTTGACGGGACTTTCACTGACAGGCAGCTGATGATATAAGGAGTAACTTAGGCTACTTTTTTAGACTAGCTTCGCCCCGCAGCGTCTCCCGCGATACGTCAATAACCGCGGGTAACATCGCGGGACTCAACTATTCAATAATAAAATTTAATGTTTCCGAAGCGAAGCGAGGGCGGGTCGCTAGTCAATAATAAAATTTCATGTTTCCGAAGCGAAGCGAGGGCGGGTCGCTAGTTTCAAATAAAAACAAAGGCCTTTCCCTCGTTTTGTTAGTTTTCACAAGTACTTTAAGTAAGTAATTAAGTAAAACTTACATGCTTAATATAAATAAGGTAATTCCCAAAATTCTATCATCATATAATAGAAAAAAAAAACGTTTGCAATTCCCACGTAACCACACATCCTATAAATAGATGTAAATATTATATGCTTGTCTCTCTCTAGTGTTGCTTTTTCGATTCATCTAGTTTCAAATCGCAACGATGCTAAAGATGATTTCACCTTCAAAATGTTTCAACTAATATATTTCAATTAATTTCAGGGATAGTCCAAAATGAAGGTAAAGGAGGTGTTAGGTGTTCCCATAACCATACTTTACTACCAAAACGAAAATATAATTCGGCACAAAACTTTGGGAGTTTTTTTCTCTTTATGATTGAAAGATTACTGGTGGCCCGGAGGCCTTTCCAGTTTCACGTGAGCGAGCAAAGGCTCAGCCACTTTGGGAGTCTCTGACCCATCGTTGATACAATCTCAATAAAACTATACGCGAAACTACACGAAACTAAATCACAGTGAATTTTTAAAATACTTTTTAAAGAAATATCGGACCTTAGTACTTCCAGTACTTACCTATAAACTTTTGAAAATTATATTAACCATTTATAATACTGTGATAATAAAAACTTAAAATTTCGAAATAACAAGTTATGGTTATTAGATTTCGTTTATAAATTCCTCATTACGAATTTAGATTGTAAATAACAATAAATTCAGCCATAGTTACATTAGGTATAAACGTGCAATTGTCTTTGTTTTTTTGTCTTTCTTTTACATCAAAACGAAGCAACCGATTGACATTATTTCTTCAGAGATTGCATTAGGTCAGGAGATTGATATAGGCTACCTTTCATTCCGAAAAAGCATTCCCACAGGACACTACACCGACTCTTCCAGCCACGGGTAACAGCTAGTAACCTATAAGCTTCAGTGTATATCCATTACAATATGTAGGTATGTATAAATAAATACCTAATTATACTCATTCATTTAAAAAAAAAATCCGAGTCCTCTCTCTTTGCGTCACGCGACAATTCCCTAGTTTTCAAACGCTCACAGGGCTGGAATAGACCTGGAATAGACCCTCGACGCTACTAGCGAATAGGCAAATGAAAAAGAGTTTGCGTTCAGATTTGACGAGTCAGTAGCTACTCAATACCACGTTGTGCTCTATGGGCTTTTGCGGCAGCTAAACTTTTTTTTTTCCTACCTAAGCTGCGAGCCTTGAGAGGTTATATCAGCGTAGCCTTAACTAGTAGGTGAGCTCACGGGGCTCAAACCTGACGACGTTGCTAACACGAACCCTAGCAAGAGCCGTGCTTCACAGAATCTACCACCGGATCGGAAACTCGACTCACTGAGAAGATCCGGCGAGAAACTCAGTGGGCTATGTCTAAGGGTGCAGCTAAACAACCAGTTAGCCGTGAGTCAGTTTATCGACGTTATACTTATCGTATTGCAAGATATTCAAACTGTTCAGTGTGTTCCATTTCGTGAAGTCGGTTTTAATTTAAATAGTGGTTTATAGTAATTAGAATCTTTGGATGTATTTAATCTAGACGTTAATAGAACTCTGACAAGTAATAAAAAATATGTTTTTCACCTCAGCAGCTCACACATGCCGCTTTTGCTGTGAGACAACAGTGAACAAAACGCGATTTTGATTCGAGCATGGGTCAAAGTAGCTTTTCAATTTTTCAATCTTCAGTGCCACGAATTGACATTGTTCAGCCATAAATTTGAAACTATCGAATTCTATTGTGCTCTATCTCTTTCACATGCATATAAAAATGCGAGGGAAAAAACAAACCCCTTCGAAATTCGATTTTGGAATTCGACCTCAAAGAAAACACGTTCGGTAACGCGTAATACCCTAAAATTTAAAGATATTTGTAATAAAGAAATTACCTTTTTTTTAAATAGTTATTTCAATCTATTCCTGTTCATTTCTGTCTCCTACGTAATAAAGCCTTCGTCAAACACAACGCGTACTTAGCGCCGCGTACTTAACGTCGCGCTCTTCAAATTGACTAGATGAGTCTAACGCTCCTTGACGCAACGCATTCGCCAAATCATAGTGCCTTTCGATAGCAGTGTGAAAATTTAAAAGTATAAGAAATCGAGTGATTCAGATGTGGCATTGTATAAGCATGGGTATTTTCTAAATATTTATATCATTTTTTCGGGCATTATCTAGTATTTTAATACACATTCACTCGGACGCTAAAATAAAATATGTAAAAAATTACAACGCCTGACGTCAAAGCGTCCTAACGCCGCGAGAGAGCGCTGCGTACTTATAGCGCTGGGGCTCTGTTTGACGGTATGTTACCATAGTAGTACAACACATATCGGCGTCATAGCGCGGCGTCAGTTTAGCGCTCTGACGCGCGCTAATTACGCGTTCTGTTTGACGAAGGCTTTAGTGTTCTCAATGCTGAGGTGAAAAGTTATGTGTGTAATAAGAGAGCAAAGTTTTTTGCATCTCGTGCTGTTGAGTTGAGTTATATAATTCAATTTGTTTTCATAAATTCAATTTCAATAAATTTAAATATAATTTAACATTTTAAAGACAACACTATATTGTCTTATGGTATAAGGACATGTATCTGATAAACATAACAATATTGGCCAGCTTAATTTATACAAAGTTGTTAAAACTAAGATAACATGTTTATATAACATTATTTTTCATGGTTTCATAAATTTTAAATAATTTGGTCTAATTTTACTTAATGCTACCGGATCGAGGTCTGACCTCCTGTGATTGCGTAGATGACTCTTCATGTTACCTCTTTGAGCGTAGCCTCGACTGCAAATAGGACATTTGTATGGTGTTTCTCCTGTATGTAATCGCATGTGCTCCTTCAAATAATCATCATGATAGAATCGAGCACCACATATACTGCACTCTGCCGGTCTTTGACCTGTAAAAACAAAGAATCTCATTGATAATGTATTTATCATATAAATCACCTAAAAAAATTCTAATATTAATTAGTAAATTATATACGTTTCATTACGTGCAACCATCACAAAATAAATTAGGCAAAATATTGTTTGGGTTATAAGGAATTTATCCAGAAAAAGTAATAGTATTATTCTTACTATAGCTGCAAAGCAATCAAGTATTCTACTTTGAAAGGTAGGATTATCAGAAACACTATAGCTGTGTTTATTAGGAAGCGTAAAAAAAAACGGATTTATATCTAAATCAGACTAACAGTAACCTCAAGAATTCTTGTGTTTATACAATTTAAACATTATTACCAGTCTACCATGCCACTCTCAGTATGTAAGCACCCCTTTGTCATTATTTGATATTTAATATAAATTATTTCACAATTTTACTATTATTTTGGAATTTTTGTGCCTTAATTACAATCCAATTTCAGGTGAGCTCTTCTGCCTGTCTGCACTAATAAACGCATATGAGCAGTGCGAACTGCCAATATACATCACACTATAGTCAAACTTATACATAATACGTATAAACGTATAAATATGTTAATATACAATTATATTATTAACCTGTATGTATGGATCTCTCGTGTACTATGACAGACTTAGGACACTTGTACACCTTGCCACATATTTTGCAGGAAAATAATTTTTTCGGTAGGTTCTTCTTGTTATGAACGTGTTTTATATGACTGCCTAATTCTCCTTTGAATGCAAAACTGAGAGAGCATATTGTACATTTAAAATTCTTGCTTTCAGCATCATGTCTCCTCTTAATGTGACGATTGAGGTAGTATTCTGATGATAATATTTTGGAGCATTTCGGGCATTGTTTCGGAATACTAAAATGTTTCAGTTTCTTGTGTGTTGCGAGTTTGTCTGTATTTTTACAGACTTCACCACAAAGGTCACATAGTTTTGCAGGATCTAAATTCTTTTTAACTTTAACTTTAGGCTTGATTTTGGCCTGTTTAACAACTTTTTTGGTTTTCCTAATTATAGTTTCACCCACTGTTACACTGTAAAATATTTTAATTTTATTTGTTAATGTTATTATTTATGGAGTTAGTAGAACTATCTGGCATAGTACAATAAAAATATTAATTTCAGTACATCATATGTAAATGTAAATATAATATTACCACCATTTATTATCTGCCCATATAAAATTGCCCTCTAAAATTGATGATGCTATTTTATTTGTTTGTGTTCTATTTCTAGACTTAGAATTACTTGGCAATCTTTTTTTCAAAGGTTCCACTTTAACCTTTTCTATATCCAATTGTAAAGGTTTAATTAATTCTGTTAAACTTTGAGCATTGTCTTCCTTTCCTTCCTTTCCATTTACTATTTCCTCCTTTATTGCAATATCTGTGTCAGATTCCACAGGTTCTTCATATTCACTAGTATTTTCTACCTTCACGTCAGCAAACTGTTTCGATAGAAACTGATTGGATTTTCTATATTTATCAATGAAACTAATGAATGTATCCAGAATATTGTTGCATTTGGCACAAATGTTACGAGGGTAACCAGCTATATCTTTAATCTGAAAGAACAAATCTCTCTCAATCGAAAATTTTCCATTTATTATTGTTTATACACAACCAGTGTTTTACCTTCTCATTTAGGCAAATGAAAATTTTGGAATTTATATTTTCAGTGCAACTTTCAAAAATGAACAGACTGGCCCCTGGTTCCAAGCATATTCTACACAATAAGGTATCCATATTATTATGTTTAAGTATTAAAATTTTATTACATTCACAAAAGTAAGAGGCGACGAACTTCAGAAAATCAAAACATTGTGATAAACTTATTCTTAAAGTCTAATATTGACGTTTCCCATTATTTTTTTTTATAATTTTATGACCTGGTGACAGAGACCTTTAGGTCATAAATATGTTTCCCATAAATAGTCTGTGGCATAGATTACACACTTAATGTCTGTGGTCTATAGTCTGGTCTCACTGAAGTAGGAAACTTAGGTCTGGTTTTTAGTAAATTTCTTTAGATTATGTTTTACCGCAGTCGATTACGATTGCTCATTTACTCATTACGAATATTTTAAAAAACTTATTATAAGGATCTATAAATCACTTCTACTATTGTAAAATCGTCAGCTGGAAATTAAAGTATTGTTGATGCTATTTGTCCCTACCTTAATACAGATACTCAGAGAAGCTATTTGTCTATAGCAGCATGTGGAACATTCATGTCAGAATCAGCCACTGATTTTGTAATTTTTAACTGGACTAGGGCATATTGCAAACTGGTAAGTTCGACCACCTGCCTGTTTTGTCATAAAGCAGAACTATGTGCTTCTCTCTGTTCGTTAGGACTGTAGTCTTAAAATACAATAGATCTTGTAGGTGGCGGAATTTACGTATATCTATAGGCTTCTATAACTGCTTAACGCCAGTGGGTATAGCCATGGTATCTATTGTTTATGCAAAAAAATAAATATTGACAAGGCTTTCTCCCCCAACATTCAAATTTTTAATGTTGCGTCTTTAAAGTTTGAAATAATTCAGTGATTCTAAAGTTCCATATCATCGTCAGTTTTATTTGTCTTAAAATAACTCTTACACACATATTTTTTAAATCGTAAAAAATATTTTTTAGCTTTAGCAAAGAGCTTAACAAAATGAGAATATAATAATTTTACATTCTTTTTGGTGAAGTTATCATTATACGGTACCTAATATGGTACCTAGTTCCAATTGGTATTAATAATTCAGTAAGACCGAATTGCTACATTTCTACACGTAATTTTAAGCTTAAAAGGCACAGTTCAAATATAATCATACTACTTCTCATTTAGTAAAATCTTGGATTATTAAAATTTATTAAAATTATTGAAATCGCCATTACTTTCATATTTAAACTCCAACAGCATCGATTTTTTTTTTCTGAATTAGTAGTCTACTACTATATTTTATTTAGGTATTCGCACAATTCGCAGATCACAAGACCATCCATAGACACAATTTTATCATTTGTCTTCTGTCATCAGGTGATTTGGGTTTGGGAGTAAAAAATCCTGAATTGGGATAAAACGCAAATTAATTCCTAAATCAAAATGTCTGGGAAAGATAGATTAGCGATTTTCCCTTCTCGGGGGTGAGTTTTACGTCATTCGTTCTTTAAAAAAAATATTGATTTGATATGGTGAAGATAAGATGTTAATAACTTAAATTTGGGTTTTAGTGCCCAGATGTTAATTAAGGGTCGCCTGGCTGGTGCAGTGAAAGGCCATGGTCTCCTCAAGAAGAAGGCTGATGCCCTTCAAGTGAGGTTCCGTATGATCTTGAGCAAAATCATTGAGGTAAGTTCATGACTAAGTTAGCTAATTTGACTTTGTAACGAACTTAGGAAACTCTTAACGATAAAGAATAATCAATGAAAACTTATATAAGTACATTTTTGGGACAGATTTTCTTCCAATTATCACTGATAATTATCATAATAAATGTTTTAAGATACATCAATTAAATGACAAATAATTGGATTCAGTTGGAATTTTATACGGCAGTTCTGGTTTTTTTCTGCGATTTTATAACAGATTATATCCAATTAAATTTAAACATCAATATACTATTTTTACTTAGACTAAAACCCTTATGGGTGAAGTGATGAAAGAAGCTGCTTTCTCTTTGGCTGAAGCTAAGTTCACAACCGGAGACTTCAACCAAGTTGTGCTACAAAATGTTACCAAGGCTCAAATCAAGATTAGGTCCAAGAAGGACAATGTTGCTGGTAAGCTTATAAATATTACACAAATATAATTACAAAAGTTACAACAAATACGATGTTAGTATTTAACAACTTAGCTTATAATATTATGACAAATTAGGCACATTACGATATTATGACAAATTTATAGTTTTCAATGCTTTGATTTTTATAACACATTATTAGAAAAACTTGTACTAGTTCTGACCATTAGAATCTTGGTATAGGTGCTTGATATGTTTTTTTTAATACATAATTGAAGTTATAAAACAGATCAGCATAAGTGAGGTGAGACCATAGTATATTTCATTGTAAAGATTGTTTGATTTGAGGCTATATTTATTTGAGTATTATTGATTTTAATAATAAATATTAATACATTACGTGAATGTTGAGTTTGTTAATATTTAAAATTAGGCAGGGTGTCTATACCAATCGGTGTAGGTTGACAAAACGGCCTACCACCAGAAATTATGCATATTAAACTTTTTGCGGGTTGGATTTTTATTACTGTGTTGTTATTCCTTAACCATGGAAGTCATTTGTTAACATTTAAGTACATATTTCATCAGAAAAATTGGTACTTGCATGCGGGATTAGAACACTGGCATAGTTGCATAGATACATTTTCACCAGGTATTTGATCCTGCAGACCACGACGACTTCTAAGAATTCTTTTAACTAAATAAGTTTTAGATAATAACTAATAATAAGGCTTGGACGACGGCAGTATAGATCACATTTTCCTCAATTGTCGCTTGAACAATTCATTCATATGAGACCAAGTTATTAGCAAACTGAAAATTCAATGGCCGGTAAATGTCCGCCACCTCCTCTCACTATTCCCAGACCCCCGTATTATAAGTGCTTTTATTAAGTTTATAACTGCTAACTCTATAAAATTATAATTACATATATGTAGTGCATTATTTTCTGTACATAATCTTTATTATATGTGTAGCCATAACATGACACTGGCAGAAATTGGTGAAAGTATCAGCAGATTGGCATTAAAAAAAAAAAACTAAAGAAGTATAGACTTTTAGATGCATTTATAAAATTACACACAATTTTTTCATTTCAACCAGTAAACTCAAAACAAACGAGTGATATAGTAATATTCAAATCATTTATAATAGTCAATGCTTTGCTTGCTCTTTGGTATTTCTGAAGTCTATGTACTATAAACTAAACACTTTCTTTTACGTGTGTTGTAGAAAAAAATCTTTACTTTTACTCCTTAAATTTCTTTAAAAACAGCAAAACAATTTAGTTCAGGGATCGTTAGGGAAAAAAATCGTAGAGAAATATCAATAATTCTATATTCGTTTGTCATCAAAAATAAATATTCTTGAATAGTAATGTGAAATATTAAAATTTTTAGAACGATGCACTTTTCTTTTTTAAAGTAACAAAGTAACTTTCTTGTTTTAGTAATGAAATCAATGCATAAATATTCTTTTTGTTTGTAATCATATACACTGCTCAAAACATCTATAACATACTGCTTGTAAAGGAAGAAAAAGTGTATATCATTACCAACATTCAGCCACTTTTAATTAACATTACCAACATTCAGCCACTTTTAATTATTATTTTTCTAGGTGTCACCCTCCCAATCTTTGAGTCATACCAGGATGGTTCTGATACCTACGAGTTGGCTGGTTTGGCCCGTGGTGGGCAGCAGCTTGCAAAGCTGAAGAAGAACTTCCAGAGTGCTGTGAAGCTTTTGGTCGAGTTAGCTTCACTGCAGACTTCATTTGTCACTCTCGACGAGGTTATTAAGATCACGAATAGACGTGTCAACGCCATTGAGCACGGTAAACCCTTAAATCTGTGTTTTGTTACAATTACGAATACTAAGACCAGGACTATTGATGAACCTATTATCTCTGAAGGTTAACCTGTTATCTTGAAGCCGTCGTGGCCTAAAGGATAAGATGTCCCGTGCATTCGTATCGAGCGATGCAACGGTGTTCGAATCCCGCAGGCGGGTACAAATTTTTCTATGAAATACGTACTTAACAAGTGTTCACGATTGACTTCCACGGTGAAGGAATAACATCGTGTTTTAAAAAATCAAACCCGCAAAATTATAATTTACGTAATTACTGGCGGTAGGACCTCTTATGAGACCACCACCATTACCACCACCCCGCCTATGTCTGCCGTGAAGCAATAATGCGTTTCAGTTTGAAGGGCGGGGTAGCCGTTGTAACTATACTGAGACTTTAGAACTTATATCTCAAGGGGGGTGGCGCGTTTACGTTGTAGATGTCTATGGGCTTCAGTAACCACTTAACATCAGGTGGGCTGTGAGCTCGTCTACCCATCTAAGCAATAAATAAAAAAACTGTATGGAGTCAAATGAATCAATGATGAACTTTAGAGCCCAGGACCCAGAGGTAGGATTATCACCCCCAGACTAACTGTACTTTATTTATATACATATAGACCAAATGGAGTCAAAAGCATCTCTAAGTAAATTGAGAATGTCCAACATTTTAAGTGCAGATTTGGTTCTGTTATCAAAGCTCTCATTAAGACTGGTTAGGAAAAGGATTCTGTAGGAGCAGTTGTCCACACACCCTACTATCAAAATAAGGGACTTTCTTGCCTCATACTTCTTAGAGTGTTTGATATTGTACCTTTTTGTTCCCCAAAATAATAATAATTTACCAGGGACAAGTCAAACACTGTGGTCTGTACTATGGGAACAAGAGACTCATATACATACCTATATAAGTTTATTGTGCGCGCGGAACTATTTGGCCGCGCCTTAGGTATGTGAGCGGTGGGACGGAGAGGCGGGGGCGCTTGCTGTAATTACTGATATGAGATTTGATACTGCGATGGACGAAATCATTTATAAACTTACAAGATGATTCTGAATTAAGTTCAAGAGAGTGATTCAGTGATAGTGCTTTGAAGACGAATTAGAAAAGAAAAAGTAACATGCAGTTCAATTTTTGTAGTTTTCAGATGTTTTTGAATACCATTTTACGGAATATAATTAGTACAGTAATAGGTAATATAGTTAGACTATGCTTTATTGTAGACGAAAATAAACACAAATGCAAAACATTGAATGGAAAATTATTATATAACGGGCGGTATTATCGCTAAGACCGATCTCCTCCAGGCAGCCTTCAGATGGACAATAATCAATTCAGGAAAGGAATTAACTTTCTCGTACTTATCGATTTGAAGATGGAATTTATATATGTACATAAATAGCAATATTATATAGATATAAATATCAATTAGATTGTTATTATGTACTTACTTCTTATTTACTTACTTCCAGTAATCATTCCCCGGCTGGAACGTACACTCGCGTACATCATCTCCGAGCTGGACGAGCTTGAGCGTGAGGAGTTCTACCGTCTCAAGAAGATCCAGGACAAGAAGAAGATTATCAAGGACAAGGCAGAAGCGGTGAGTTTTTTTTTTTTATGTAACCTAATTGCGTTTGCTTGGCACTATGAACCTAACAAAATTTTGAAAACAAGTATCACGGTCTAAGAATAATTTTTGGTGTAATAATACTAACTACTAAGAGACCTATCTCAACTAAAGCTGAATTTATTTAACTTTACTATTTAAATTAACTAAAGTAAATTATTTCATTTAGCCTTTAAACTCTTGCAAGTAAAATATTTGTTCACTGTCCGATCCAAGGAGGATACAACCAACAAGAACATGTTATGAAAGTAAAATTTCTAACAATGTAAAACGTTACCAACATTGTTTCATATTTCGTTGAGCATGTAAGTACAATATTACATAGTGATACAGCAGAAATAAGATAACAAAAATTTTACAAACAAAAAACCCGACAACAATACAAAATAAGAATTTAATTGATGTACTCAAAGTCAATTATTTACATTATGATTAAAGATAACTTAAAAAAGTAACGGTCAATATCAAACGGTCAATAAAGAAAATATTGGAATGTAAAAAAAAAATTAAAAAAATTTGGTTCATCTAGAAATGGTATCCGAGGTAACACATATAAAAGATTAAATTCGAATTGAGAAACTCATAATTTTTTGACATAGGTTAAAAATTATGAGATCATACATTAGTGGTCAAAAACCCATAGTGAATATGGCCCTCTCGAAACATGAGCATGAAGTCTCAATTGCACTGGTATTTCAAACTGAAATGCAATGTTTTCATGAACACCTTCATTGGTGCATTTGTTAACCAAACGCAGAAACTTAATGCTACTGAGTCTTGTCAGTAATTTCAGTATTTTACTTTTAGTAGAAAAAAACGTGTAGTAGTTTATTTATAGGCGTTAAATAGGATATTGAGGCACTCCAAGTCTTCTTGTAATCAAGCCATGAAATAAGCCATACGTAGTTCATTACAATATATACACAAAAACTGAAAAAACTAGCTTGACCCGATTCACCTTGGCTTTGGGGTGAATCAGGTTACGTATGGCGCCAATATGGATTTTTTCGATAGGGCTGGCACTATTTAGTTGTTAGGTAGATACCTAACTATAGATATTTAACTTTTTAATATCTTCTTTAAATCTTATCTTTAGATAATTATTAACTTTTTAATTTCAGAAAAAAGCCGCTCTCCTGGCTGCCGGCAACGACTTGCGCGGCGGGGTCACCAACTTGCTGGATGAGGGCGATGAGGACTTGCTGTTCTAAGTCCAGACGTAGCACTCCATACATAGCCTGTTTGTAGACCGCAGCGGAGCGTCGAAGAAATAACAAAAATAAAAAATAAAAACGGTGCGCGTGCAACTTTGTGCACGTGAATGAAGTGAAACTTCTTATTTGATTTTGTAGTATTGTTTTCTTCATTTTTCATCCTTAAATCAGATTGCTCTTGTAATAGGGAATGCTGTGTATAAGAGATGCGACATGTTCAACATTAATATTATGTATATTTTAAATTATAGATAAAAAAAACATTTTTTTTAAATACTTCATTAAAATATTAAATGCTACTCGTTGCTAACGCTCGCGCTGGCCTGTAACATGTACTACGCGCATGCGTTCGAGTGCGGCGCATTCACTCTCGCTCTGTCTCTTTCTAATATGGTAGCGTTAAACGTTTAGCGCAACCATCTTGGAAGTCGCGTTAGAAGTTTCACTTCAAAAAAAAAAACATGAACCTCTATTAATCAAAACTTATAACTATATAATTCCACTCATAGTTTTAATAAAGAAACGCCAAAGGACCATAACTCTGATATTAGGACGCTCACGCTGCCTCATGATATTACGGTGTTCATTAAAAGCTTGTAAATAATTTGCTGTTGCCTGTTGCTTTGAAAGGTATTTATTCGTGACGTCACTAACCGCGTGACGTTAGCCGCGCAATGAAGTCGGCCACAAGCACTCGGTGGGCGTGGCCCAATCGATGAGTATGAGTGAGACGGCTTTTGAACTAACTTCAGTGCTATCAAATTGTTACTTAAAAAAAAAACTTAATTTCTTTTAAATGCATTCCATCGTAAATGTAACAAAATGGTTTTAGGTCGGCATCAGTATGTACACCCCCGTTAAATCAGTATGATTATTAGTGTTAATTCGTTTTTTTTTTTCAATTTGTTTTGTTCGATGGTAATCGTCACGAAATGTATAACGTAAGCGTAATCGTTCATGTAAATACACGTTGTGGAGCGAAATATTAAATATTATTATTATTGACGATTTTGTTTTCTTGAAATATCCTAAGTTAGGGTTTAAGAATGGAAAAGGTGAGGGCTCGTGTAGACCAAAGTTGCAATATCGCACGTTGCACGTTTTTTTCCCACCCTGCCTATCCTGATGGCTTTAAGAGGCAGTATCAGCTTTACCCTAGCGTGTAGGTGAGCTCTTGGAGCTCAAGCTGGAGTTGTTGCTAACACTGGCCCTAGCAAGAACCGTGCTTCGCAGAATCTACCACCAGATCGGAAACGCGACCCACTGAAGATCCGACGAGAAACTGGCATGTTGCACGTACGACATGTACTTCTTCACACGAGGCTTGCGGAGAGTATTCAATGGTAGGCAGCGACTTGACTATGTTCCTGGCATTGTTGACATCCATGAGCAATAGTAACTTTTGGGCTGTATGCTCGTATGTCCACAAAAGCAATAAAAAAAAACGTTGCAATTTGTAGTACATTGCTTGCTACGAATATAAACTGCGTTGGTATTTTAGCCGCGACCCCGAGAATAGTATTCAATGTTCTGTGTTTCCATGTATACAATATAATAATATAATCTATACTATTATATAAATCTACAGTGGTTTTTACGGATGTTCCGTTATAACTACTGAACCGTGTATCCGATTGACTTGAAACTTTGTATCCGTGTAGAAAATACATGTACTTAATGGATAGGCTAATATTTACACGAGTGTTGAACTCTAATAATAATGACAATAAATTTTTATTTATTTAAAATTAGTATTTTTATACTAATTTTAAATGGCCAGCGAAGCGGGCGATTACGGCTAGTATAGTATAAAATGAATGAATGCGAATTTTTAATTGATTATTTTCTATTTAGGTACTACGTTTTTCTGTTTTTTTTTCTCCAAATTGTTGTTATTTTTGTTTTTATTTTATGTTAATTATTTAATTCTAGGCGATGCAAAGCCGCAATCGTTTTTAGTTACCTATTTAAATGCGGAGACATTTAAATGGTGTTTAGTTGTAAAGTTAGATTTTATATAGTTTAAGTGTGTTAGTGGTTGTCTTCCAAATAAAATAAAATTATATAGTGACTGAAGTCGTTTACGGTCGTCTGTGATTCACAAAACGTATGAAGAAAACCCACGAACTATCACGTGTTAACGATACGAGGAAAAAAACTAACAGAAGCGCCATCGACTCCTGATCCGAAAAAAAGTGTTAATTTATTGACAACTCGATTCGGTGGCACAGGAGTTGGCAACCCTAACCACTAGGCCGAGGATCTTGGGCTCGATTCGGCCAAGTATTCATGATAAAGAAGTCGATTTACTCTTCGTTTGGCTGTTTAATATTAGTCTTCAGTTCCAATAGTACAGCAAACCCTAGTTTGAAGCGAGATGGTCTAGTGAGATTAGAGAAAATATTATTGCGCAGAACGAGTGAACGAGCTGGCGGCTCAACCGTAGTATTAAGTGCTCACCAAAGGTACCAAAGGTATGCTTACCGATCACCGCCTGAACGTTGCCACCTTCTTTGACATTTGAGGTTATATTTTTATTACACGACTAGCTGACCCGGCAGACTTCGTAGTGCCTCAATCGATTAATAAAAGACCTAAACTTTTGTATAAAATAAACTTAAAACAAACAAAATGAATTCGTCCGACGGGGGACAGACACATCAAAGGGAAAATAAAATTGTTATTTTTATTTAATTCCGAGCATTTTCATATTTATCTACGATTAGTCGAATCATTAGTGACACTTCTCTAATAGGTATCTTTACGCTGAATTTGGGAGTGTATTTTCGTTAACAGAAAATTCACACAACTTTCGGACATTCTCAAACTATCGAAGTATTCTTTGGGATCTTCCAATGCTAATTCCGTCAGAAGACAATCAGTAGCTTCTAGTTTATCTCTTCTATCGATCCATTTTCGTGCCCAAAACTTCTTTTTCTTAATCACAGAAATTTCCTCTTCCCCTCTTCTAAAATAGCGATTAAGCTATAATCAGTTTATTTACTCAATTGCGTTGCAGCCCGTTCATCTTGAAAAAGACCACTCACTTGTGTACTGACTGTACTGGACCGTAATGCGAACGATTTCTGTACAGTAGCGAGTAGTTTAGCCACTAAATTACTCGGTAGTCGACTAAAATACTCGTCTAGTCCGAACTAGGCTTAAGCTGCCAATACCTCTCAACTCACATTTTTACTGCGGTTGTTTTTTTTGCGCCATCTGCTCGCTTTATATCGCAATGTTAGAAGTGGCTATTTTTATTTGTATTTTTGTAATATAAAAAAAAAATGTTATCTTTTTAAGAACTTACACCAAGAAGAAATAACATCTGATTTTTTTGCCAATATTTTTTTTATGGAAATACCTTCTAACTTACAGCCTTAAAGGAACGCGATCTGAATATTTTCTTCTTTAGCAATATAAAACTACTGTAATACTGGTGGTAGGACCTCTTGTGAGTCCGCGCGGGTGGTACCACCACCCTGCCTATTTCTGCCGTGAAGCAGTAATGCGTTTCAATTTGAAGGGCGGGGCAGCCGTTGTAACTATACTTGAGACCTTAGAACTTATATCTCAAGGTGGGTGGCGCATTTACGTTCTGGATGTCTATGGGCTCCTGTAACCACTTAACACCAGGTGGGCTGTGAGCTCGTCCACCCATTTAAGCAATAAAAAAAATTAAAAATAATAATAAACTTGGATTTCGGATTCCTAAATACCATCCGTATTTTGATAACATTTTATGGTCGCCTGTAAACTTACGACGGGCGAAAGAAAAGAAGAAACAATAACACAATACTTTATTAAACATACTGCCAATTTTATCATCTACAAAGGTAATAGCGTTTCCCTCTTTTTTCTAACAGACCGAAATCCACTGCTGACCTCAACATGGCTCCGATTTTCTTACCGGTACTCCCAGGGTCGTTTGCGATTTTAAAATGTCGCTTCAAGTACCCGATTATTCGCCTCGAAGTTAGGCCTTCTCTGGACGGGATTCTATGGAAGGCCCAAACTAGAATGGCAGCTGGGACGGATTTCTTCAAAGCGGTTTTGACTTTATACCTTTTACTCCGAACTGTGGCTCCCGAATTCGTGTAGCACGTTTTCGACGAACATACACTGCTAATCGAAGAAGTGTAGGTCATTTTTTGTATAGTTGTTTGTAAACAGAGCACTTTATTGGAATTTTTATAGTTTTGATGACAAACGAGAAGAATGTGACGTAACGCGAGTCGTCATCTGTCAAAAAATATTAGTCATTATTAAAATATTATTTATCCGCGGGGTCCCAGTGTTATAAGGCTGTTTAAGGAAATAGCAAAAAGGTTAGTCGACGTCACAGGAGACCAAAAAGCTGGCAGCTACCTTGGACAAAGAATTAGTCTAGCTATTAAAAGGGAGAACGCTGCCAGTATCTTCGGAACCTTTCCTAAAGGGACTCCTTTTAGTAATATGTTTTAGTTATTAAATTATTACATATTATTATTGATATTTTTTAACGTTTTTAATTTTAGGTTCATTGTTAGATTTGATTGTCTTATATACAGTTATAATATGTTTATTGTAAGCTTAGGTTGACATACATGTCTTATTCGCAAGAATTACTGACTAACACTAATCATACGAACAGTTACTGATACCTATTTCTATCATAGCGAGTTTATAACGGTATACGACAAGTATTACTCAAAATAAACAAAACAAAAAGTATAATAACTGTAGATTAATTGGTAAGAAAGAGTCTTTTTTTTTATTCCCTTGTAGGCAGACGAGCATACGGCCCACCTGATGGTGAGTGGTTACCGTCGCCCATGGACTTCAGCAATGCCAGGGGCCGAGCCAAGCCGCTGCCTACTAAGTCATGAAGTGAAATGTGCAAAAGTAATAAGATGATACGTGCATTTTCAATACAAAACGGGTCATTTGACCCGTTTTGGTATGTTTAGCGCTAAAGTATATACCTAAAGGGGTGACTGAAAGGCCATTTGGTTTAAGCGACATTTCGCTTAATCTATATATATATAAATGAATTGCTGTTCGTTAGTCTCGCTAAAACTCGAGAAGAGCT